CAGCAAGTTGTTTAGGAACAATGTTTGGGTTAGCATCAACAACAGCACCTGCTTTTGGGTCACCAGCAACAAGAGCACCTGCTTCTTGGTCAACACCAGCAACAGCACCTGCTTTTGGGTCAGCAGCAACAACAGCACCACCTACATTTGGGTCGGCAGCAACACCAGCAACAGCACCTGCTTTTAGGTCAGCAGCAACAACAGCACCTACATTTGGGTCGGCAGCAACACCAGCAACAGCTCCTGCTTTTGGGTCAGCAGCAACTGCTTTAGGGTCAACTTTAACAACGGCAAATACTTTGAGGTCAACATCAGCAACAGCCACATCTGTATCAGGTAAAAACACACCGCCAACAAATGCACTAGTTTTACAAAAATATCATCTCGAAAATGATAGTTTTTAGTAAGTCTTTATCACTGTTTCAATGGGTGGTTCCCTCCTTCCAGATTTTTTGTAGTATTACTCATCTTCTTGTGGTTATCTTTTTTCAGCAGTAAGCAATAAATTCAGCTTCGCATCACCTACTGTCGGAAGTGAATTCAGCTTCGCACCACCTACTGTCGGAACCCGCATTCCCTTCCAACCATGTGAATTTGGTGGCGATACAGGAAAAGGGAGCATTCAGACAAAAGGAATTAACAAAAAGGGATTGCAAAAGATGAAAAGATAAAGACAAACTCAAAGCTATAAATGTCAATCCCCCCGAGTTTCCAATTTTTTAATTGGAAATTAAAAAGACGTCACCGTGATCTTAGCATTTTAGCAACGGAAACTCAACGAGTATCTGGAAATCAGTAAAACTGTAAAGCTTGAAGCTTGAAGAACACAAATTCAAAACTGGTGACGATATTAATTTTCAAAAAGTGAAAATGTTTGTAAAAATATTCGTTTATAGGAAAGAGATGCCTACTTCCTTCAAACATCACAGTTTTACTCATCTTAAGGGCGTTCCTGGACAAAAGTTCCTATCGCAAGACTTTCTTAAATTTTGCATGGTGAAAGTACATCATGCTAGAATGAAAATAAGCAAATAAAAAAGGGGGTCCCTAATAACATTCTCCTCGATATACACACACGAAGTACGGCGACTCGCGAAAAATAACATCTAGCTAATTCAAAACAATACAATGACGGATCACGGGGGGCAAAGGGGGGCTGAACCCCCGCCACCCCTTCAGCAGAAAAAACGATACTTTTTTATATAGTTTTCCGTTGTGTTGACAGAAGCGCATATAGACCCCCCCTAAAATTTTGTCTGGACCATCCCTTGCCATGCGCTTTAGTCCATGGTTTATTGCACAAAGTGGCCAAAAAATAAGACGACTTACTTTGTATAGTTGGCAAATAATGCATTATATTTGAAAAAAAGGTGAAAATGGTACAAAATCGATCACACCTATGGGCTATAGTCAATAGTTTTTACCAAAAATGACCTATTTTGCATCCTTCATAAATAATGAATATTTTTAGAAAAGGTGTGAAAATGTTCCAAAATCGTTCAAAACCATGGGCTATAGTCAATGGTTTTTGACTTAAAATGGTCTTATTTGAATGTTACGTAAATAATGGATTATTTTGGAAAAGGAGCAAAAATGGTCCAAAATCGATCAAAACCATGTGTTATATATAGCCCATGATTTTCACCAACAATGACCTATTTTGCATCCTTCATAAATAATGAATATTTTTAGAAAAGGTGTGAAAATGGTCAAAAATCGATCAAAACCATGGG